ATGAAGTCTGGCCCGAATGTGTCACCAAAGATCATTTTACCGGGTAACTTGCCTGTGTTAAGTGAGATCATGGTGAAATCCTGTGTAAATGTGGACAAAGCTTTATCAGAAAGTATGGCCAGGGAACCACATTTTCTTCAGTGTATGTCCATTCCCAAACGGGTATGTCTGCCTATGCTGGATTTGTTTTTTTCATTATAATTAATATTTGTTTGCACTGAGGTCAATTTGGCCAAGAGAATAGAAGGAAAAATCAGGGTTTACTCACCACAAGGAGTCCCTGTGACACCACATTCCACTCTATAAAGGAAGTGAAAGTGCTCCTCCCTTGGGTCTGATTCACGAGAAAGAAAGAGAGAGAGAAGGTTGTAATGTTGCTACGCTACTGAGAGCGCCATGTGAGGGAACAGGGGACAACAACACCTGGCACTGCGGAGACTCTAATACAACAAACACACTGCTCTCTGAAGTCAGCCGTGCCGCTCAGCCCTGGCAGCCGATCACAAACTTGTTTCCCTACATGTGCTCCTGGGGGGTATGAAGCCCGGGGCAAAATTAAGGCATATGTCTAAATAGAGACAAATTGTGTGTGTGTGTGTGTGTGTGTGTGTGTGTGTATGTGTATGTGTGTGTATGTGTGTATGAAATCAATTTCAGGTAGAACTGTCTTGAAGGAAGTAGGCATACAGAGGAAACCTAATGTTAAGAAATCCTCAAGCATTTTAAATTCATACTTCTTCTGGGAGATAAGAGCTTTTCTAAAAGTTGCAAAAGCTATAAAAAAAAAAAAAAAAAAAAAAAAAAAAAGACTATAGCCTCTTAAAACAAAAGCCCACAGAAGCCTCAAATAAGAGAAAACCAGGGTGGAAACAACCAGAAAATGTGCTTACATATTTCATTTGCTTTCGAGTAAAAGAAAAAATAGTCTAGCATTTATTACTTAAAACTATTCTACAGTTATGAAGTCACAAGATTTAGGAGGAAAGAGGGATCCCAAAAATGCCAGGCAAATTTAAAACACTGATACAACTGGTTATTCTAGATCTTGTAAGTTAGTAAAAATTAGGTTTGATACCTGTCTTAGCATAACAGAATACTTTAACACAAATATTTTAATACTCTATCCAAGAAACATGGATTCCTTATATAATGAATCAAAACTTAATTCTGTTTTCCATGTCCTCATCATTTAACAAATTATCCTAATTCAAGCAGTATCTGGAATGCTTTTCTAAAATGACACTACCCTATCTGGGAGAGAGGGAAGAAATACATAATTGAATCTGCTCTGAAAGAATATGAGTGTTCATTTATTTTAGTTTACAATAATAAAATATGGGGGGGAGGGGCAAAGATTTTGCGAGATTGTTCATTCATTACGATCAGTTTTCAAAGGAGTATTCTTGAAATTACTAAGGAGACACACAACTTTTATGAAAGCAGTGCATCCTTTGCAGACAACACACACCATTACCAACCCAAGCTAATCACCTGCCAAAGTCATAAAGTGAGCAGTATCTGAACAGGCAGAAGCTGGCGAAGTGCCCACAATGGAGCACCGTGATGAAGGCCGGGTTTCCATGAGGGCCCTCACCCACAGAGACCCTGGCCCTTGGTCACAGAGAAAGGCAGAGTCCTTGTCTACTCACTTAGCTGACACAGGAGCAAAATCCCCAACCCCAACCTCCAAACCACAGCAAGGTAACAGAAGTCTTAGAAATAAGTTCAAAGAATGAATTCTATAGCAGAAAATCTGGAGGCTGCCAGCTTTCAAAAGCCTCTCATAAATACTGTCTCACATAGAACTCGGCAAGGGCAGGAGGTGAGGACGCTAATCTTAGATGGGAAAAGGGGGCAATAACGTTTATCCGACTACACGTGTGAGATGGAAGCAAACAGTACTAGAATACAAAGAGTTACCGTTTCCGTGTTAGCATGTGGATTCCTTTGACAAATATCCGCCTTTCCCCCTTTTGGGGAATAATTTCAAAGAACTAAGAGACTAGGAAGAGAGTAACTTTTTCTTTCCTTTCTTTTTTTACAGAAAGAAGACTGAAATAGAAGAGACAGAAAAAGAAAACAAATAATATAGTCTACTTCTTTGCTGATCTCTTTAATTTCTTCTTATCCCTTTGAACAAACAGTCAGACTGAAGGAAAGAGCATGTTTTGCTGGCTGAAAAGGGGAACCTGAGTCAGCTATAGGCAAATGAAATAAGCTGCAATGAGAATAGAGAATGTTAGAAGAAAAGCCGTAAGAATGCAGAATTTGGCTATTTCTTAATAAGTAAAATATATTCTTATATTCCTAAAATATTTGAAATTTATTAAACTTAACATTAATAATAGCACAGATTATTTTAAAATAACTGAAGTTCCGATGTGTAATTTTAACTTCATTTCACAGATAGCATATATTTATTAGTGACGGCATAAAATGTAATTTTTCAGTTGATCCAAATGGTTCTTGAAATAGCAAGAATTATTTGGCACAGGGAAACTTATTGGAGTCTTAAATGTAGGACGTTATAGTTTGCCCTCTGGTGTCATTTTAGCTATAAAACCTTGACATTAGAACACTTGAATTTTATTTTTAAATGTTATTGAAACTCATTTAGGTTGAGAAGCATAAAGTAATATAAAAGCCAATCATCTTTATTTTAAAAACTATCTTAAAATATATAGAAAAGGTTGGCTCAAAGGACTATTGGCCACTCACAACAAAGCAAACGGAAGTAGAGGACTGGAGATTTCCCAGCTCCCTCCTAAACCTCTTTTAATTTTTAGGACAAATAATGAAAGACTTCTCACAAGCTACCTTGGTATCCTGTTTCCCCAAGTGACAGGGACACACAGCAATGACACAGTTCAGATGCCAGTACAACAAAATGCGTCTTCAAATAAGAGCCCTTAAAAAGGAAATCCTCAGGAAAATCCCATTGATTTTGTGCTAACAGACCCAAAGAAGAAGAGAGTTTTAGGTGACAGATTTTTCAGTGTTTTACCTCATCATGTCAACGCCACATGCAACGTATGTCTTGAAAAGCCAGTCACTTAAAAATGGCTAGAACACAAATTTGACTCACATGGTTGATCAAAGAATAACCAAAAAGTAATCTAGCTCAACATGTAGACGTGAAAATCCCTCCATGGCATTAGCTGTTTTATGTCAGGTAGCTTCACCTGGCTTTATCTGCATGTCCATGGGCCCATCCTTTTATGTCATCACAAGTGAAGATTCATATTTAATAATGTCTTATTAGATTTTTTGTGGACTTCTTAAAAGGTAACAAATAATCGTGATTTACTGAGCTCCCAACAGTGATAAAAGAAAATGGTACAGGCAGTTAGGCTTTGTTAATATTAAAGTACCATGCTACAAATGTCTTAAAAGAGGTTTGCCAATAGGGCCTCTTAAAAATTCTTCCAAACGTATAAAGGATGTACTTGAATGCCTTAAAGTTGATGGTCAATTCCTAAAAAGATTCTCCTAGCTGATTAACTTGTAATTAACAAAATATGGAACAATTATCTCATTCCAAAGGGGGGGGTAAGATTACAGAATGGAAATATCACATATAACAATGATATGATCTTAATTCTTACAACTGTTTTATTCTGTGCAATTTTGCAAAAAAAATTGTATACTTTTCACAATATGATCATCATAACCAATAAATTTTTCCACATATACTGGAAGGGTTTCTTATATGTGTTATTTAGTACTTATTAAATATTAAGTATATGTTCTTTGCTACTTTAAAAGACTATCTTCTGTGACTTTAGTCTCCCAAAATATCAACATATAATTCTGTATGTTGACCAATATTTGTAACTGTTTCTATGGTTAAGTTACTAATAATAACTTTATTGTGTATTTTATATATCATGGAATAGATACCTACTTTACAGTTATATTAAACTTTACATATTACTGTCAATTTCAGCATTTTAAAACTTTCCCGGAATGAAATGTATTTAGGAAAGAGATGCTTGTGAGAAATTACCATGGACAGCTATGCTGAGAACTAGATCATACTGTTACAGAGAGTGAATACACAGAGCAGACATATGTTGCCATAACTATACAAAGAAAGAGAACTGTGAAACCCAGGCATCTTCTAACCTCAGGTCCAATAAAGCATCAGGATTCATTTAAGCTTCACACTTCATCTTACTGTTCCCAGTTTTGATAGAGAAGAAAGGGAAGGAAACTACTATCTATTCCAGTCTACTGTGAACCAGCACTGTTCTGGGGATTCTCTGTACACCTCCCAGTCTCTGTGGTGAAAGATGCTGGGCTCTCAATGTCCCCTTTTTACTGATGGGGAAACGGGCGTAGAGAAGCCAAGAGTTGTCCACAGCTCAGCAGCTCATCAATGCCGGAGGGCCGCCTGATGCTTCCCACTCAGACAGTGGTCTACCAGAGCTATCCCCTCTCACAAATCAGAGGGAGTCTCACCTGTAACCAGTCACTAAGGGTCCCTATGCCACAAGACAGTTACTCTCAAAAGGGATGGAGGAGGGACCCCTACAGTAACAACTCAGGAGATTCTGATAGCACCTGGCCCCCAGCTCCCCACCTAGAATCCAGCTCTCACTTTATAGATCTTGTCCAGACAGCCAAGGGACTTCGGGAAAACTGAGGTACAGGGTAAAGGTACACAGTGGCAGTGAGGTCATTGACTTTCAGGTCCAAGGCCCTTCCTATTCTTCCCACCCACATTCTTAACATTCGTTGACTGCCAAAGCAAGGTCAGGTTCAGAATCATTCAGAAAACAAATGTGTGTATACAAAATACAAATATTACACCAACCTATCCTATTATCTAACATTCATTAAAAAGATAAACAGCATTACTTTACGCATTAAAGACCAAACTGTGAATGAAAGCATATGAATTATCCCTAATCTGCAAAACTTACCCATGTGATTATTTAGTTTAACAACTATAAATAGTAAAAACAATTGAACACTGGAAATAGTGGTGTTCCACTTACCGTAAGCCGTAGCAAGGCAGAGTGAAGAGCCTGAACAGTGCCAGAAACACTCTCAACGGGAGCAGGGTGAACACGTACAGAAACGCATCCAGGCACAGGAAGATCCCAAAAAACATGAGCTGGATTTTAAAAGGAGAGAAGGAAACAGAACATAAATAAACACGCTTTAAATATTGTAATTGTAGATCATAAATAACAGAACATAAATAAACATGCTTTAAATAATTTAATTTAAATATTGTAACATGCTTTAAATATTGTAATTGTAGATCAAAATGTAAACAAGGAACTTCAGAACTTTGTAGGAAGTTCATTTCTCATAACTTGAGAATAACAAATTGATAGTTCTACTTGTATATATGAGCCGTATTTTAATGAAAAACGTTTCTCAAAGTGTAAATTTGTACTTCTTCGAGAATCTTTGGTTTACCTCCCACAGAAGTCAATTACTCAAAAGGCAAGTTGCCCTTGACTGTGGCTATGAAAGATCTGATTCAGCTTTCTGAGTACTTCCTCAAACTTTAAAGATATTGCAGACACCTTTTAGATAAACCTTTTTAAAACTGTACCTTTACTCTTTATAAATTTGCTATTTCCTGTTTATCAGAGTGCTTCATGGATGGGAAGGATTGGAATATCCATTAAGCTAAAATATGTAAACTGTTACTAACTTTAACACAATTTTGAGTATATCTGAACTTGCTATATTCAGAAGGCATTATTCTTTACTAGAGGCCTGGTGCATAAAAATTCATGCACTGGAGCGGGGGTCCCTCAGCCTGGCCTGCCCCCTCTCACAGTCCAGGAGCCCTCAGGGGCAAGAGGTGACCCGGCGATCAGGGGAGGCGACGCCCCCCATCACACCTCTGCTATTGCCACTGCCAGCAACACAAGTCTTGCCAGCCCTGTTACCTGAGCCTCAGGCAGTCCTGGGCGGCTGGGGGACTGAGGGAACTGGGGGACTTCAGAGGCAGGTGCGCGGAGTGGCCATGCATCTGCCAACCCAGTGGGGCTGAGGGGACTGGGCACTGCATCTTGTGGCTGTGAGCACTGCCATCTTTGAGGGTGTGAAAGTCAATTAGCATATTCCCTCCTTATTGGCTGTGGGTGCTGCTATCTTTGAAGGCATGGCAGTCAAGCATATTCTCTCCTTATTGGCTATGGGCAACACCATCTTTGCAACGGCATAAGGATCAATTAGCATATTCCCTCTTTATTAGATAGATTGGAGGAGTAACTGCTAATGTTTGTATATCTCCCCCTTTCTTTCATACTTCAATCTTTCCTATTTTTTGTAACATTATACCCTTCCCCCCATTAAATGTAGGACTACGGTATATTACATAGAAGGTGGGTGTAGTCTTTTGATGGTGTGGAGAAGTTGTCACACCCAGGTTCTCAAACTCTTCAACTTAAGAGCAGGGACTTCCGCATGTCTGACACACAAGCATGATATGCTGTACATGCCTTCACACATGATGTTCCATGTATCCTTAAGTCAATGAACTGCCTACACAAATGTAGGAAATAGTTAACAATGACACTGTTACCAGTAGAACTGCATCCCCTCTCTGCAAATTCGTATGTCAAAATTTTGCCCCCAGTACCTCACAATGACTGCATTTAAAGTTGGGGGTCTTTAAAGAGGTAGTTAAGTTAAATGAATTCATAAAGAGACCCTAACCCAGTATGACAGGCGTCCTTATTAGAAAGGAAACGTGGACACAGAGACCGACACAGGGTGGGTGACACAAAGACACAGGGAGAAGACGGCTGTCCACAGGCCAAGGAGAGAAGCTTCAGAAGAAATGAACCTGTGACGCCTTGACCTCCAGGACTGCACTCCGGAGCCAGCCATTTGGTGGTACTTTGGTACAGCAGCCCTTGCAAACTAGATCACACTGCTGGACAGGACAATTTTAACAGTATTTTGCAAGATGTCCCAAAAATATATTCCCCATCTATATACATAAATACACATTCTTGTGTATATACATATGTGTGTGTATGGAGGGGGCTCCTGCCCTCAGTAAGCTTACTCAAGTTTCAGCAGAGACGCCAGATGTGGGTAACGGACAGGGACCTGATAATAGCGCTGTGGCAGAACTATGGATGCAGGGAACAGCGGAGCCCTGGAGAGAAGACAGCCAGACCAACGTGGGGATCTCAGAAAAAGCCCCATAGGAGAGGAGACCCTTTTAACATCTGAGAGGATGAGGAACTACTGCCACATGGAGAGGAGGTGTGGGAGGTGGGCGGATAGGGAGATGGGAAAGGAAGCTCGCCAGGCTCGGGAGGAAGCATGAGCAAGAGCACGGAGAAAGTGATGATGAAGACAACCTTTCTTGCAGAATCCTAATATATAAAAAGCTAGGGGCCATCAAGACCGAAAACAAACTGATGGATGACGGAACAGCAGGCTAAGTGGGGTGACAAGGCCAATCAATAGGGGGGTTAGTGAGGGGTGACCAAATGACTGAACAGCAGGCTGTGGGGGGTGACAAGGCCAGCAGGGAGGTTAGTGAGAGGGATATCCCCCGAGGGATCCCGGATTGGAGAGGGTGCAGGCTGGGCTGAGGGGACCCTCCCTTTTCCCAACCCCCCATGCACGAATTCCATACCACTGGGTCTCTAGTAAAAATATAATCACCTTTCTTTGGCTTAGAGGAATTTGCAATAGTATTGTTTAGGGTAAAAACAGTATCTAAAGTCTAAGGGGCCTTCCCTTCACATATTAAACCAGCCAATAAACTCCGTGGGCCAGCAATCATCTTCTCACACTGCGTGCTGACCTCATAACGGGGAGATCCCATATTAAAGTGGAAGTGAAACAGTGGCTGAGACCTAAAAAACAGCAGCTGGGTGGAAAGAACCCATCCTTGGATGTTGCGATACACTGTATACAACCAACAGAAACTCCTTTCCCGGTTTAGAAAAGCGGAAAAGTGACCCAAGTACTGTGCCTGTTGTTCGAATGTTACCCTTTCTCATAGGTACAGCATCTTCTTAATTCTTTACAAATGAAAATAAGATCATTGCCTAAAAAAGTAAGCAAGACGCAACCCTGAAAGCATTCATCCTTCCTCGAAGGTCAGAAAGCCTGTGCTGGTGTGGCCTGAGCCTGGCACCCAGCGAGATGCTGAACCAGCATCTCTGAATGACATGGGCCCAGGGCTTGGAAGGGGCTGTGCAAAGGATGTCTCCTGTGCGTAGGGCCCTCCGGGCAAGGCGTGAGTGTTCTCTCCTCACTCCTCCCAACGCTCTGGGTGGTTATTGTCACCCCTACCTAACACGAGGAAGTCACAGCTCTGGAGGCAAACCGCCTCCCAAGCTCGCTCTCATCCACTATTTTACCGGGCACAGGCCTTACTGTCATTGTCTTTGTGCTAACTCATCTTTTCCAGTTTGCCTGCTGTCATCAAAATAGGCATTTAATGAGTCAAACTTACAAAAAGGCATGACATTGCCACACATGTCTACTCACTGCTAGCTTTGAAAAGGTGTTAAGAATTAAAAGCTCTGAGTATATATTACTATTGGGAACAGTACTGTACTTTCATATCTTTGGTTCAATTGTGTGGCATCTTGATAAAATAGGCAATCACTATTCAATTTTATTTCAAATAACCATAAAGTACTCAAACAGTGTTAAGTAATATCTACGGAAAATTTCCCTGAAATATACAAAGTGTGACAAGAAAGTAATAAAACGGTGTCAGATGCCACTCTGTTTCCCTTTTGAAAACACAAAAATCTCTTGTTCTCCTTTAAGTGCCACTTGAAGTTTCAAAATAAATGCAAGCTGTGGCCAAAGTCAAAGCAGCACAATGCTTGTGGAATATGTTTTCTATATCATAACGAAAACCTGTTCTATTGACTGACAGCTAGGCCTTGTCCCTCTCTGGTCCCGCCTCCCCACTTCCTCCTCCTCTGGCGCTGCCACCACCCCCACCTCACCTAGTAAATGTGATCTCTCACTTGACAGTTATCTCACTTTTATGGGGAGGCCATAAAACAAATATGTCCTCTGTTTAGACTGACCATTATATAAATAACAGACAGCAGAAAACGACAATATGACAAGGAACTAAAGCATACGGAAAATGCCTCAACAAGAAATCCCACGCTGGGGTTTTGGGCTTTTTCCACTTTCCTGGGGACGGAAGACTCATTCTTTGGTTTGTTCCTCCTGTTTTCTCTGTAGCAAACAGAGTGCAGCTCTGATGTGACAGAGACCGACATATGTTCACTGTTTTAAGAAGAGCAAACAGTCTTAGTAAGCAGCTCAACACCCAAAGAGGAGGACTTAATTACTGACCACAGCTCAGTCATTAATTAATACACTTTACAAGTCACTACACACACACCTATACACACACTCCAACACCCAAAAGAAAACTTTCGCTGAAATAATACTTTCCCTCCATGAAATACAGATGAGTATTTTCAACTTCCTTTTTAAAAAACAAGGGTCTCATTAAACTCATGGCCCACCAAAGGGTGACAACTCCTATCTGAAAAGAAGTCCCAGGGAATGCAGGCGTGCTGGCAGCCACACAGCAGTGAAGACAGTTCAGAGCGGCCAAGGAGCTTTGCAGAGGCACCTGCACTGGCAACACTGCAAAGATCTTTGTACAAAAATGCATGAAAAACAGGGATTTACACATTGCAGCCATTCAATTTCAAAGTTGTTCTCAGAGGAAAGTTTTATAAGAATTTACATGAAAAAAATAATTATTTCAAAATAACCGTCTGCTTAATTAATAAGGCACTTACTTCTTTTTTGTTTGCTTTTTTTTTTTGGTCAATCCTCACCCGAGGATACTTTTCCATTGATTTTTTTGAGAGAGGGGAAGACAGAGAGAAACATTGATCTGAGAGAAACACATTGATTGGTTGCCTCCTGCATGAGCCCCAACCAAGGCCCAGGCCAGGGAGGAGCCTGCAAACAAGGTTCGTGCCTTTGACCAGAATCAAACCTGAGACCCTTTGGTCTGCAGGCTAATGCTCTATTAACTGAGCCAAACCGGCGAGGGCAATAAGGCAGTTCTTGAGAGTCTTTTTTGGAATAAAAATAGTGAAATGAAGGGCAGAAATGTTCACTGGCCTTTCTGTGCCC